AGTGTCTCGACTCCCGTTTAAATAATGGACAAATCTACCTGTACGTAAAAATATTAACGATTTAAATATTGCACGGATTATTAAATGTATAAATGCTAAATTTTCTAAATTTACAAATAAAACACTTATATTGATAAAGCAAAATGTTTTAGTGTTTTTGAGCTTGTGAACGGCTGATTTATTGTTAGTGTTTCCAGCACGTTCGAGGAACGCCAATTAGAACACACGTGTGTATTTCCGTTATCGTAAAATTTCGAATGCATTATTCGCAAGAAATTGTAACGGTGATCTACTTTGCCATGTTCGAACGCACACAACGAATGGTTATCATAAGCGTGGAGATTAGATTTCTCCGGGGAATTGCTCGTATAATAATGCAGCTATTCTCTCTACTTTTTGTAACGTTCTATATGTGTTCACTTTCTGTTTGATTTATCGGATATCACGGCAACCTTCTCCCAACGAATGGAAAAGTAATACTTTCCAATGTTTCATTTATAAATTTCATATTATCCCTTTCGTAAAATTAGCGTGAAATACTAAAATTAAACGATTAATCAGACGTCAAGGTAACGGGACATTAATTAGCTTGCGTTAACTTTAAAAAGTTGAGGGAAGTTCAAGGCAGATGCTGGTTAATTAACGGAACTGAACAAATTACACGTTTTTTCTTATTGTAAATTTTTCAGTCAGCTTATTCCTTGAATAGAAGAACAGGTAACGAACAAAATTTGGAATACCTGCTATGGACAATGTTTGAGATATATTTAAAAAATCGTGAAAAAGTTGCGTTTCTTCAACACTCTGAATATCCCTTAAATAATTTTCTTTACTTCACAAAATTACATTTCTTCAACACTTTAAATATCCCTTATCTAATTTTCTTCACTTCACAAAATTGCATTTTTTCAACACTCTGAATATCCCTTAAATAATTTTCTTTACTTCACAAAATTCCATTCTTTCAACACTCTAAATGTCCCTCAGCTAATTCTTCTTACTTCGCAAAATTAATGTGAGAAAAATGCAGTTTCTGAACATACTAAATATCCCTTGGCTAATTTTGTTACTTCACAAAATTGCATTTTTTCAACACTAAATTTCCCTTGTTTCCAAAATTTACACGGCTATTCCAGAAGAGCGTGTAAAAGTTGTATCCAACCAACGATAACGAATTTTCGAGGGAAATTCCTTTCCGCCGACACTCGGTTCTTGCCCGCTATTAAATTCTTTCGCCTTCTTGCATCGACTGTTCTTACGTTTGCAATTAGTTCTAAAAACGGCGAGTGCCTTCGACACTTTCCCAGCTTACTCCGGCCGCGGATTACGTAAATTGAAATTTGCCTTTTAAAGCTACTTGTTCTATTTACGATGCGCCGCGCGCGTGCCATATCGAGTCCCGGTTAGGAGAGAAAAAAGAGAGAGAAAAAAAAACAAATTGCAAGAAACTTATTCAGAACCGTTGAAACTAGGATAAGATGATATGTAGGCGGTTTTTCATGTTTCGCACAAAAGGCCTGGCTCTGTGTGTTCGACGGGCGAACGCTTGGGGAACAATGGAACGGAAAGTAAGTTATAAGGGAAAATGTTCGAGTGTTCTAGGAGAAAGAAAGAATAGAGAATGAATAGAAGAGAAAGAAAAAGGTTGGACAGCTGAAATTATTCTTACATCTTTTCTCTTTCTCTTCGTTAGGGCGAACGTAACAACGTGTCGGAGTAGTAATATATAGAGCTTGGATCATTTCGTCGATTAAAACAATACCAAAGAATTTCGAAAATGGGTTTATAATTTATAAATTAAAATACCATATACAAAGCTTAAAGTCTTTCACTACGGAATGGAAATGGGTAAAAAGAGAGAAAAATAACAACGGTCTCTAAACGGAATATCGTTTCAAACGGTGGAAACTAACTACGAAATTACGCATCACACGTTGAATAATAGTCGACGTTCGCAATGACGAGAGTGTCACAAATCAAGTTTTCGTTCGATCTTCCTAAGTGGGAAACAAAAAAAAAGAAAACTGCGAACTTCTACGCGAGTAAATGTCCATTGCCGTTCTTATGTAACAGCCTCGCCACGGTTTAACAAAAAAAGAAACAATTTTCTTGCTGCATTGTGAAAGGCAGGCTCTTGCCATTGTACGTCCTCAATCCTTAGCTTGGGAACATAGAAGAAAAAAAAGAACAAATTTAAAACTCTGGCTCGATCTGCGAACAGTTTACTTGGAACACCGGAGGCGCAGGTTATTCCATAACCGAACGTCCAATTTGTTTGATATCATTTGCGAAAGAACACTGTCGAACGTCGTTATACCAAAGCAAGAACGACTAATTTGCTAGCTTGAACCCTCGAAGAACGAAAATTTTTTCCCACCAATTACCTCCCCCCAATTTTTACATTTTGCAACGATCAACAAGAGGAAAAATAGATTGCAAAAAAACTTCAGAGACCTGCGTGTAATTATCCTTCTGAACGCAAAACTCGCCGGATGAGCCTCGATTGGATAGTAAAAAATAATAATTTAACGGTTACGCTGCTCGACGAAGACAAAGTGCGTCTACTAATATTTAAATAATTTTTATTGAATATCATAGGTAATATGAATTAGCAAAGATCATACCCACAGCGGCGTATCCTCTTTTTTTTCTTTTTTTTTTCTTTTAAATAAAGAACAATGACTGTTCAGAAACACTGATCATATATACCTGCACGTTCCGTGTGGCCTTCACTCTCATTTCTCTTCCTCTTCTTACACAGTGTCTCTCTCTCTCAGTGCATGCATTCTCGTCCATCTCGTTCTCTCTTCCTCTTCCTTTTTCACCAGTTTCTCTCATTCTTTCTATCTCTCTCTTTCTCTCTCTCTCTCTTCTTTCTCACTAATTCTTCTGTTCATTCATTCGTCTATCACTCTCGCGACATCGGCGACAATAATCGTCTAATAAACACTTTATATGGTACTTAGAGAGCTCGCGCATTCCTATACGTACACTCACACGCATTTGCATCACGCATATACAGTGTACACGTGTCCTTCTGTATATGTGCATATGAACCACAGCTGCAATCTGTATCACACACGCGCCTGTACCTAGAAGTTACATTTATTATTACGTGATTGTACCTAACAAGCAATGAACTTTCCACGGATTTCAAGTCTGTCTCTGTACTGTGCACAGCTGGAAGAAGACAGTGGGACGGCAGAGGATCTAGATGGGTATTATGCAGAGATGAGGAGATTGCCAATGAGATGGTACAGAGGCAAGAGGGATACGGTATTGTCGCGTTAGCTGGTCGCGGCTCGGTACCACATCTGGCCTGCAATCAAGGGTGGTAGTGTTCTAAGAATTCCCGAGTATGTTTCTTCTCTACTGAATGCAAGTGAGATACGAATACCTGATACGAAATATCGAGGTCCTTGTTTAGTTCAGATACGAAGATACACGAAGCCAGTTCTGAGAACTGGTAGGGATAGCGAAGGCCAACCAGTAAAGCGAAATCCCGGCCAGCTAACGCGACAGTACTGTGCTTCGTTCACACCGCCTGACTCTCCTGTTATGCAATATTACATGATCCGATTCGTGGATATTATCGCGTCGGCCAATGATGACAATACGTCAGCCCAATTTCTGCGATTGTGTTAGAGAAGGTGAACAGTTATGGGGGATACGACTCAGTCAGACCTGCATTCCTCGCGCTAGCCAACTTATGTTTACTTTGAGGCTTTCAGGTGTGAGCCGTGTCCAGTAGGATAAAAGTTTCACAACGTTATCGGTGCGTCCTCAAACCTCGGACGAAGCTAGCTACAATGCTTGCGATACGTTGGGAAACTTATCCAACTGGATACGGCTTACACCTAAACGCCTCGAACAGTACAAAGCCTCAAAACTCTCATTCTCATCTCTGCATAATGCTTCACTCGCACCTGCCTAACACTCACTCACGCAATTTTATATGATACAATTTGTCGATGTTATGTCTGCCAATAATTACAATATATGTGCCCTATTTCTACGATTTTGTTAGATTAGGTGAGCGCTTATGGGGATATGACCCAATCATACCCGCGTTCCTTCCGCAGGACTTCTTTGCAACTCTGCACAGTACATGTGTTCGTGTGTCTGTGTGTGTGTATGAGGAAAGGGGTGGTTTTCTGAGTCCTGCTTACGATTATAAATATAATATCCTGAAACCAAGGGGGTCCACTACGTTCGTATAAGCTGCGCTTAAATAAATCATACGTACAATCGTCGCTTTTTCGTCGTATCAGTAAATTTGTACCCGCAAGAACGAAGTTTGATCGACACGCTACGCGTAGCCTTTTGCCGCGACGAGAACCACGAGAAGTACGTCTTCCTGTATCACAGTAATCATCTAACGACGTTTCGCTAATTAATCGTAGTACGAGGAATTTTTTTTTTAACGTCTCGACCAAGTCGATCAAGAAACTTCCACGAATTGTCCACCTTTTAGGCGCTCTTTTACAAAGTAGTTCAAACAAACAGTTCGTGGAAGGTAGATGATCATTCGCGTCGGTTGAAGTACGGAATAGTCTTTGCTTTTGTACGAAACTTTCTAAGGTAAGTAAAGGACCTTGTGATTGGTAGCCTTAAAGATTGCCACGGAAATCTGGATCAACTGATTTTAGGATTACTTTAATGTACATTTTATTGCAACAATATTGGTCATTCGAGGATGTTACCAATTTTTTTTAGAATTCACGATGCTCTCGTCTAAATAAGCGAAGATTTCAATAGACGAATAAAAGTTCTAAACTCGTCAGATTTCGCGGCGATCTTCAACGAGCCATCCACGAAGTTTCTTTTTTGCTAAAATCTACGTTCTGAAACGCGTAAATGCTTTTGAACGGAAAGAGCGTATTCAGAAAATAAAGGTGGCAGTACACGAAGAGTACACCTGGTGATTCCGCTTCGTTCGTGAAATTACGCCCTGTTTAAGGGTGCTATAGTTGCCATACAGTCCTTATCTCGTAGAAATCTTAAATAAATCTTGGTAAGGCAGTGCCAGCTCGGTGGTACATGTACGGTGGAGGAGGCGGGCCAGAGTAGTGCCTCTGATGTGGATGAGGAAGTGAGGATCTGTGCGAGCCCATCGTCCCACTCGACGGTGAGACGTGTTGCAGAAGATGAGAGGTTCCATCTCCTAGATCCAGCTCTAGCTCTTGTTCCTCTATCAGCTGCAACGCTCCGAAGGAGGCTGTCGCCATCGCCACATCCGGCATCACACCCGACAGTTGGCCATCACTACACGAATTGTTCTCTTGTTGCTGGAACACGAGAAGAAGCCAGAGATTGATTTAACTTGGATGAAAATTCAATCGAAAATTCTAGCTTAACACGTGAACTTGTGGGTCAATTGTGTTCCTTATTTGAATTAGTTCAGTAAATTCTGCGACTTATTCAGGACTCAAATATATGTTTGAATCTTGGGCTGCGAGGACATGTAGAATCCTCAAATTTTAACGCTTTTCTACGATAGATTGGAAGTATATAATCCAAAAGATCTGATAGACAAATTAACCCAGAAAATTTTCGTCTTATTTTCTGCCGAGGATTTACAAATTTAAAGTGTACACGCGAGGCACACAGTGAACCTCAAAACCATGAAAGTGGCAACACGTTAACTGTCCAAGGAGTATGTGTGCAAACTTAAGTTCACTTAATCGTGAAAACAGTGACAAATTATGTATTCCTTACGTTTAAATACCTCTGTTAATTTAATTATCTTCGTAACAATTCAAGCACAGACTGCTTTCCTGAGTCGTATGTAGTTCAGAGGACAGTAAACGTGTAACTCTTCGAGGCCAATGGAATAAAATTAAGGAAAGAATGTGTCGGTATTTGTACACAGGATACAATGATTTAATTTGTCACTTCTTGCATGTAGGGTTAAATTAAGCTGTCCAATTAATGGCGTCTCTCACCTCCGCGAGGAGTCTACAGCTTTCACCCTCGGTGACTATAGCCGGAAGCTCGTGTCTGTGTGTGCAAGATGAGGCTGGCCGCGGGAATGTCATGTTTCTTCCGTAGCATAATGGCGGAACGGTTCTCGCGTTGATCCCCATACCAGGAGAATCCATGTCTTCGATATCAGTCAGCCTCTCGTTTTGCTCCTTCACATTGTACGCGGCTGTGTTCTGCAAAAATACATAAAACTAGTCTCATAAATTAAACTGTTTTCAAAACTTCGAATACATGCTTCTAAATTCAGACGCGTTCAGAAGAGATCGACATTTTTGCCATCAATCATCAAAGTATATTAAATATAACTACTAAATTGGCAAATCGATACGCTAAAAATGTCGACTACTTCTCTGGACACTTAACCGTATTTAAAATGGAACTCTACAATACCCTTTTCTTTCTTCTTATGTACTCCTTACTGGGCTCGTATGGTAATAATAATAAATCTATAATTTTTCTAAAATAAGTGCATGTAAAAAAATAATTCCGAAGGATATTTCTCGTTGCTTCGTGAAAAGAAAGTTTCTTTCACTATTGTTAAGAATTAGAGCCTAATTGAAAGCTATTTAGCGCCCTATTACAAATTATTTCCTGTTTAACACATCGCTAGCACATAACTCGTATTTCGCGTTTAGCAAACCGTGCATTAAGGCCGGAAGACTCGATAAATTGAATATAATGCATGTTTCATTATGCGCGCATCGTCTCCCTTGTGCCAATGCCGTAAATGTGCGGTTCGACGAATTGTGCCAATTCACAATTGAATGTAAAATGTAACCAGATAATTCTGGAAACTTTCAGTCTTCACTTCAAATTTAAATTTAAACATAAAATAATTTTTCATTGTCCATTTCCTTTACTCAAACTTTCAGTCTCTACTTCGAACTTAAATTCAACTGTAAAATAATTTTCCATCGTCGTCCAATAATCTTCTATTATCTTTCCCTGCAATTACATTCAAATCATCCCACTTTCCACCGAACTTCTTCCCTGAGAACGTGAAAATTTGCATATTCGTAATTTCCGCATAAGTGACTCGACGCAAGAGGAGAATATTTCACATGGAGAACGAAAATTCGTGAAATTTCTCTCGAAAACTGCATCGTTCTCCGTTTACAGCCGGAAGAGCTATTCGATACCTGCGCTTTAACCAGGATTTCACAAGCGCGAACCACCGAAATCACGGGCGCCGCACGCCCCTCTAACAAGGAAACAGGTTGAAAGTTGGCCGGGGCCAAAAGCGTGCTTAATTTGTAAACCGTAGCGGTGGCGCTTAACAAATTTCCTAACTAGAACCTTGAACGAAGGAAAGCTAACACCTACAGACATTCATTAACCACGGGATCCAAGGGTATTTTAGCAAAAGAGAGACAGTGAGAGAGAGAGAGAGCATCCGAAATCCCGTGACTTAAGCGATTCTATAAAGCTTGACGTCAAACGGTTTAGGGAAAAGCGACGTGGAAGAGAAACCGTTCCGCAACGATGATCCCCGTGGAATAATTCGCACCGTTTATAATCCACACCGCTCCTCTCTCTGACGCGTGCATTATTTGGATTTTAATCCGTATTGAAGCTGAAAGATGGGGATACCATCAATGAGCGTCGAAAAGAGGGAGAATAGGGGTCAAAGTCAAACGGTAACGAAGCTCAGCTCAGTTGTCGCGACTTCGCTGTGCCAGCTAGCCGCGTCGACCAACTACGTCGCTCCTGCGATATCTAATCGAGCAACTCTTTCGACAGGCTGCAACAGGTATTTCGATAGTATTTCAGCCACTTCCTGTTAACCATGTTTTCGAGGAGATTGGATTCGATGAGGTTTCACAGTGCTAAATCAAGAATTGACGTGAGGCTTAGGAGCTTGATCTTCGTGCAAAGAGGCTAGCACACGATCAATAGTATTGACAAATATTGACGATTCGAGGATGGATTAATATTGAGATTGAAGAATTCGTGAATGGATTTTGTAGATATTATTTTTGAGGAGGGATTGACGTTGAGAGTGAAAAATTCGTCGATGTACTTCTAGATATTTTGAAATTCGCAATGTTATTTTTGAGGAAGGATTAATATTGAGATTGAAGGATCCTTTAATGAATTTCTAGATACTTTTAAATTCGCAATAATATTGTCAAATATTGCCAATACTACTGATCGTGTTGCTTCAATACTTCAGACACAATTTATTTCTCACTTTTCATTGGGAGCTTTTTGTGCACTCCTTGAAGACTCAAACGTGCTCTAAGATTCACTAGAATTTACGTATCTCGTTCGACCTAGAATTAGGATTTGAAAATATGCCATTTGCAGGCCTTTTAACCCATTTCCAATATTTGTTAAGCTTCCATACAAGTAGCTCTTAAAATCTTCCAACTGAATCCCACCAACTCTTCTTCTTAACGTTTCGACTTCTAGAGATTTCTAAGAGCTCTGACATAATTCTAACAAACTCTAGCATTGTATAATATTTCACTTCTCCCAATAAAGTTAACAACAAAAATTCTCCTAATAAGTAACAACCAACAGAGAATTCTAAATCTAAGAAATTTATCAAAATAAAAAAAAGACACAGCGACAAGTAGAATCTTTTCGATTAATACCAAAATAACTGGTGACCCAAAACTCGTAGACTGCAGTGTGTGTAACTTCTCTGTTCGTGAATCTAGTTTGAAGCTTTCAATCTGCTTGCTTGCTTAAGCAAATGTTTGTCGGGAGCTCTTCGAAGCTTTCGAAGTCGAATGATCGATGCAACGCGATCACTGCTCGATCGTGTAGCCAGTTGTCTGACCGCAATTGCGTAATTGCGAAATTGACTGGCAACGAGATAGGTAACCGATCGATTGGAAAACTACCAGTGATCATCTCGTAAAAGATTTCCGCATTTTCGTCAGTGGCGAAACGACACACCACGATGGAACCTTTGAGACCTCGCCGCTTCACCTGTTTGATATGCAAATGATATTAATTAAATCTGCATTAAGTGCAAGTAATGTTTACTGTTTGTCCGAGATAACGAGCGGCTAATCTTTTGTTAAAATCTCACGTTGTCGTAGGAAATTTTCTGTCAACGAACATCCGTTCGATTGTTGGTAAAATTACCATTATTATGCTTCTCGGGCGTTAACAATTTAACATCGGAGATTGTTTCTAAATGTCTAAAAAATCAAGTGACGAATTCAAATAAATAATAGAAATTTAATGCACGAAGTATTCTTGTTCGTGGTACTATAGCTGCATTATTTTTTTGTCAATAATAATGTAACAGTATAATTCTTTTTATTGCTTTTCTTATTACCCGACAACAGACATGATTTAATTTCATTGAGTTTGTACAGAAATAGAAATTGTCGTAAAATATTTCGTACTTGCAACTGAATCTGCTATAATAAAATAATAATTATCATGTCCTCCAAGAATTAATTAATATAGACTGTTACTTCTGAATGTTAAAATTCGTCAAACGATGACTTAAAATAAATAATAAAAATTTAGTATATAAAAACAGCGTTTCTCTGCTCATAATACAATAACTGCATCATTTCTTTTATTTTACTAAAAATGTAATAATAATAACGTAACAGTGTGATTTTTTAGAGAAATAAAAATTGTCATAAAATATTTCGTACTCATAATTGAATTTGCCATAGTAACTCACGTAAAAGTGTTGTGAAAAAGTGAACTTGAACTGACAACAGAACATTGTTGTATCGTTTAAAGAGTAATTTTTAAAAGTTGAAAAGGGAACGAGTTTATATAGAGGAAACAATATTCTCGTTTATTAGAGCACCATTGAAACCAAGAGACTGACCCCAGAAGTTAAGGAAAACCGAGACCCAAACCTAATTAAACAGTATAATGTCCTCACCTCGTTTACAAGTGTTCGAAAAGTCTCAAGCTAAGGAAGCAAGTTAAATAAAGTTGGCTCGTCGTTGAAAGCTTCCCTGAAAAGGAAGAAACTACCCTAAATGTCAAGGTAAATGAAAAAACTGTTTAGAGACAGACAGTATCGTGGTCAAAGTAAATTCGTAACTTCTTCTTGTGACATTTGTATTAAACGAAATTGCATCGACAAATTCATCAAATACAGTGGAAATGAAACTAATTTTCTGAGAAATGAAGTATAGAAGGTGTAGGTTTTATTTATCGTACGATAAACGGCAAAATGCATCGACCAGACGGTAAAAAGTGTTATAATTCCATAGCTCGACACTTTCTCTCGGACAAATGTCTTCATAATTACGGAATTGCACTGGAAAGGAAGTCAGTGAGTCACTTTTTACGTTTGGCCAGCGAGGTGCGAAGAAACGCAACACTTTTCTACTATTTTCTTCCGCCACATTTCGCCATAATCGCCTCAGATACTGTCGATTATTGCACACTTGCACTAGATATTCTAAATTGCAAATTAAAGTCTAGATTTTATGAAAGTACACCGTGCCTTCAAGATACATTAAATTTTCCTTTATAATCAAGTATAAAGTTGGAGGAATTGTTGCAAAGAAATGATCCTCGGAAAAATTCCCTCAGTTGCCTAATTGCTTCAATTCTTTCCCTGTTTTTGTGTCACTGAGACTTGAATCCAATTCTACACTTTATGAAAGTGTACTGTGTTTATTATATCTGAAGGAAGCAAGTTAAAAAATTTCTGTAAAAATATGATCCGTAGAAAAATTGCCTGAGACATTGAAATGCTGACACTTGAAAGATAAGTCAATTATTCTCTATTTTACGTGCTTCAAGTCCGCTCTCTATAAAAGTATATCGTGTCTTCGCGATATCTAAAGGGATAAAGGTAAAGAATTCTTGAGATATTAAAAAACTAAGACCTCATATACTATCTCGAATCTAAACTCGAATGAAACTGTAGGTTAGTCTCAAACATAAATCTTCGGCGTAAAATTTTAAGTACAGAGAACTTAAATAAATGTAGTTAAACCTTCGGCATAAACTAATCAAGTTTCATATGCTTCAAGACATATTTGCATGCAAAACGACAGCAATAAAAGTTCATTACTCTATCGTACAGAAATGAGCAATATCCTTTTAAGTCATTTAAATTTTTTCTGAGACGTACCATTTAACCATGTGATTCAAGTACGAACAATACGTAAAATTGCAAATTTGCAAACGTTCTAAAAATAAACACTCAACCATCAAGTAGCATGATAACATTGCACCTTTAAAAATGACTTGCGATAAATTTCTTATTTCATCCTTTTTTTTTTTTTTTTTTTTTTTTTTTT